CAGCCACAGCCGCAGTTATTTATTTAAACTAAAAATAAGCTTTTTCCTTTTTGGGTTCGATTTTGATATAGTAAGTTTTACGAACAAATTTTTACTTTTTTTTTGAGAAAAGTTACTAACTTTTCTCATTTTTTTGTAGGTTCCATTTTTTTTCTGAATATAGAAAGTTTCGCAATTTTTGCAAAACTTATTTTTTAAGAAACCAGATTTCGGTAAATATATTTTTCATTCTTTTTTTTTAATATTTTAACGAACTATTATTAACAGTTTAGTTCTTTTTTTTAGGTAATTCTTTGAGTCTCTTTGGATGTGAAAATTCGGCAAGTAAAATTTTTATTTTTTTCTTTTTTAGTTTAATAATAAATAGTTACTAACTGTTCATTTTTTCTCTTTTTTTAGATGGTTCTATCAGGTTTTTTTAGAGGTTACATTCTGGTAAGTTTTTGACTATTTTTTTATTTAACTCTTCCATCTTTCAACGAACAGTTTCTAATACATTTCTTTTTTTTTTTAGACAGTTTTTCGGATTTCTTAAGATATTGGATTTTGGTAAGTATATGTTTTCACTTTTCAAAATTTTTTTCGCCTTTTAACAAATGGTTTCTAACTGTTCATTTTATGTTTTTTAAGGCGTTCTCTCAAATCTTTGGATATGAAATTTTGGTAAGTAATTTTAATTTTTTTTCTTAATAATTTTATTTTAACAACTTATTAACAGTTTATTCTTTGGTTTTTCTCTTTTAGGTTTTGCTGATTCTTTCTGGAAATAGAGGTGGCTATTAAAGATCAATGGAGTGCCAAAAAAGTTAAGTGTAAAGACGTATCAAGAAAGTTGGCTGATAATCATCCATTTTATCGAAATCTCTATAGAGCTTATGCAGATTATTTAAATTAAAGTGCAGCAATATTGAACAAAACATAGAATTTTATAGTTCAATTTCATACATGGTTATTAAAGACAATCAAGAACCTGTACGATTAAAACTTCATATTGGCGATATTGTAGATCTAAATGAAGAATTTAAAGGTGTCGCATATGCTATAAAGCAAACAATGGTCAAATTTTACACTATTTTTTATTTAATTTCAGGTGACGAACTATGTTGATTTTATATCAAGATGTCCACTTTATAATATTCAGAAGCTGGAAGAATCACGTTAGTTTTGAATCTTTCCAATCAATTTTATTGATCACGTCTCAAATTCACTTTATTCACGAATATAAAAGTACATGTAGCACCAAGCATGATGAGGCTAATTGAAGTTATGTTTTAAATAGTTTTTATTATACTGCAGTTTAATCAGCTAGACAACTATATTGCTAACATTATATTATTATATTACACTAGAGAATTCTTTCAAAAATCAAGTCGTACATGAATTTATTGGAGGAAATTTTAATTTAAATCGAAATTTTTATCATACAATCATTATATTATTTTATTATTTTTGAAACATGGCTATTATATTATTTTATTATTATTACTCTGTCTTCGATATATTTTCAATATATGATTGTTATATAAAATTGAATTTCTATTATATTATTGATACATATTTACCATATGATGGCTATATAAAATTAATATTTCAAATAATATTTTTATCACATCTCTGACACATATTTGGCATATAATAACCATATAAATTTAACATTCAAAATAATATTTTACCATGTCTCTAACATATAGTTACTATATAAAAATAAGATTTTTATATTATATGTTCAACATATTGTCAGCATATAGTTAAAACAGAGATAACATAAATAGGAATATCATATGTCTGGTATATTTTAAAAATATCGCTAACATATTTTGTAAAAACCAAAGGTTTCTGCAAAGTCAGCCCGCGTTGCTAAAACCAAGGGTTTTGCTTGCTCCTCCAATACATTATCCTGATCATTCGAAATATCCTCTTTGAAATCGATAATAGTGCCATCCTGATCATCTGGTAATTCAGTGTTTGGATTCTTGGAGAAATAATCAACAATAGTTTGAATTTGACTATCAGATAATTCCGATATAGAATTCGCACTATACGTTGTGATATACTTAATTTTATCAATTCCTATTTTCTCAAATAATTTGTATATGTCTCTTGCTCTCTGAGTTTGTTTTAGTAATGTATTACGTTTAGTACCAGGACGAAGGAGTTTAATAAGATTGTCATAAATCATACCTTTCGCTTTTTTCTCGCCAATTTTATACTCGGTCATAAACTCTGTGGTCTTTTTATTGAATTCTACAATATAGGAACACCAACACTAATTCTTTTTGGTTAGCTAGAATTGCTTCATCTTTCGCATCCCATGCTTCTTGGATTAAGCAGGCTAGATTTTGTAATATATTTGGGGGATTATCCATATCAGATTTTTCGTGACGGGCCGTCATGGAAATTTCAGTCATATGATTTTTCTCAGGTGCCGAAGTGGCTGTGAAATCAAACACATCCTGTACAATATTCTCCGCTTCCCTCTTCTTATGTGATTGAGATTTTTCGTCCTTTATTACAGAAGAGGTGGTCTCATTTGAAACACCAGATAAGTCCTGGGTAGCTGATTCATGCAACAATTTCTTTTCCCTATTCCTCTTCCTAAACCCATCACTAACGCTTTTCTTAAATGTCTCATCTAAGAAAGTGTCCATTGACTCGATGTCCGCGTTATCAGCTACATGCTGGTCTATTACAAGATCAGGTATATCATTCGAAGCGAAGCTTCTCTCGGGCTTAGCTGAAGATATATCTTCTTCAATAGAGCATGAGTTCTGCACATTAGTAACATGCTGGGGTTGCTGAGGCCTCGTGAGGTTGGAGGAATCGAAATCATGTCTTAATTTGGCTAATTCGGCTTTAAGCTCAGCATTTTCGGCTGAAATATCTGCACTATTTTTCTCCAATTCCTCGATTCTGACCTTGTGTTCGGCATTCTCAGCATCACGCCTGGCATTCTCCTCAATAATCCGTTTCAATTTCGCATTCTCATTCTTAAGCTCGTCTTTTTCAGCTTCAAGGTTGGCAATGCGTTGTTCCAATAATTCAAGGTTTGACGACATGATTGATAATACTTTTATAGAAGATATGTAATATTCAAAAGTCTGTTAGTATATATTTAATTCTGCTAAAAAATTTGAGTGACGGGCCGTCACGGAAAATTGCCAAGAAAAATTTTTATTAATATATGCAAAAAAATAAATACAAGATCGGGACTGCACCCGCGATACATGACGTCTATCTAATATACATGATTATTTTTTCTTGATTATTTCTTCTACACGACGCTTCTTAGTTGCGGGTTCCTCACTACCTACTGCTCTATCCTTTAATAAACCTACTATAACCTCTAAAACCCTCTTCACATTCTTACGCAATTCTGTATCATCTTTGAGAGCGTCTTCTGTTAGTGAAATTCGGTATTCAGTCCTGCTCGTACTATAGATGCCCTCGGTGCTGTGAAGAATGAAGTACCAGTCAGTTCCAGTACTGACTATACCATAGACGTAGTCGTAGTCGGGATCGAATGCATCATCCACCTTTCTTTTTTTCTTGTTCATATTTATATTCATCTGAGGGAAATAGAGAAGTAAGTTAGCAATAGCCCATGATCATCCTATAGCGAGCGAGCTAGTAGAATCTGTTATACTTACATCGCAAGCACTTCGGCATTGTAGTAAGTTTTGGCAGATACCTATAGTTGCTTGATTCTGTTTGCCTTCGGTTATGCAAATTATTTCCTCCAGCATCTCGCTGATAATTTTTTTGATGGCATAGTCGACACGGCCTGTGTTTTCTTCACCAATTATATTTGCCTGAGGTGTGATTACCAAGTCGCCGAGAATACTTACAGCCGTATGTAAGATCGTTGAAATATACTCGCACCGCATAGCTTCGTTACTATCTACAACTGGACCCATATTTTTTATTCTACGAAGGATGTCGTCAATACATAGCTTAAATTCTGGGGCGCTTTCGTTGATAGTGTGGATGGCTATATTATGATATGTGAGCTCGAAATATATAAAAAAGAACTCCTTTAATCTGATATTACTTACGTGGTATGAACTGTGGAATGCGAGTTATATCCCCGCTAACAATCCCATATTTCTCCAACACCTCACTCAAGTCTTTCTTAGTCTTGTACGAGGAGAACGACCTCAACTTTTTATCTTTACACTCCTTAGCGAACTTCACGAGTCTTTTTGCCGGTCCTCTTGCTAAACCATCTTGCATATACTCTTCTTCGGTCATGTCAAAGAAGTCCTGGCCTTTAATCTTTTCCTTGCGAAGTATTTTCTCGTCGTCCTCGTCAAGACCTAAGTCCTGCCCCTGCAAATATTCTATAAGCTTGGCTGTGTCATATTTTTTAATTTCGTCAGCCAGCGAGACCGTCTCATTTCCAGCAACAGTAGTGGAGGTGGAAGCTGGAGTATAAGGTGTACTAGTTTCAGACATAGTGTTACGTTTTTATAGGGATATTTGGCTCGGACAAAAAAATAGTGTTACTTTCCGGAGTGAGATAAAATTTTATTTCTGGGATGGGAAAGAGAATACTGGCCATTAATATAGGTTTTTATGTAGCACAGGCATTGCATCATTACACGTGACCCTTTCTCATATACGTTTGATAAAATAATACTTTATTTATGAAATAAAAAATATTGGCGGAAGGGCCCTAAAGGGACCAAGCTGGCCTACAATACATAAAAATTGCGACTGTATCGCTATTACATGATAATGTAATATAGATAAAAAAATCTAATTATCTTTGCTTAGTACCTCCGGCACCCTTTCAGCGGGAGGGTACACGATAACATTNGATCCCATACTTGCGCAACACCTCACTCAACTCTTTCTTAGTCTTGTACGAGGAGAACGACCTCAGCTTTTTCTCCTTGCACTCCCTAGCGAAGTCTACGAGAGCAGTTGCAGGTCCCAATTTCATTCCATGACGCTCAAGCTCTTCTTTGGTTATCTTGAAGAAGGTACGGCCATTAACCTCTTCATTTTCTAATATTTTAAGAGCTGACTCGCTAAGTCCTAAGTCCTCCTGACCCTTCAGAAACTCTATAAGCTTGGCCGTGTCATATTTTTTAATTTCGTCCGCGAGCGAGACCGTCTCATTTCCAGCAACAGTAGTAGAGGTGGAAGCTGGAGTATAAGGTGTACTAGTTTCAGACATAGTGCTTTTATAGGGATATTTGGCTCGGTAAAAAATAGTGTTACGTCCGGAGGAAAATAGAGTTTTATTTCTAGTGGGAACGCAGGTGTTAGTATAGGTTTTTATGTAGCACAGGCATTACATCATTACACGTGACCGGGCTCTCATGTACATTCAATAAAATAATAATCCTTTATTTATAAAATAAATCGTTGCCGGAAGTCGGCCTACAATACATAAAAACTATTACATAGCATGACGTAAATAAAAAAATTCTAATTATTTGTGTGGCACTGTTTCAGTAGGAGGATACACGATAACATTGATTCCCTTTTCACCGGAATAGATACGTTGGGGCTGAATGGGAAAATGAATAAAAATTCTATCTTGCGGTTCCATTTCTACTGACCCATCTACTATGAATACGTTGTTGTTTCTTAAGGTGTTGATTATAACGCTATCGGCTACAAACCCAACCTTATATAAGGCCAAACTGGTCGAATCAATATCTTGAAATCGATCTAGACGATGGTTTCTGATTGCCTCCGCAAGAGAAGAAACTCGATTGTTATTGGCATTAGATATTGTTACTTCGAAGATATCGTTCACCCCCTCACCAGGAATGAAACAATTAAGAATAATGTCTCCGCCGGCGAGAAACTTTTCAAGCTTGTCAGAAGTCTTGGACTTATCGGGTACTTCAGCCTTATCAGACATCTTGCTTTCCTAAATACAAGGCCCATGGTGAGAAAAAACTCGCTCCCATTCATAACTGGTCCCAGAGGGACCCTCTCTGGCATATACATACCTTATTTTGCGTTATTTTACGGGAATGTTTTTTGCGGAAAGTTGGCTGAACTTCCACATACCTCTACATGCTTTATATCTTGCTGGGAAAAAAGAGCGCCAAGCCGAAGTTAAGGAGATAAGAATAGTGATTAGCATTGTCGTATGATGCCAAGAGCTCTATGAAAGCACATGTAAACGGAATCCTCTTACCTTTTCACATGTAGATCTACCGGAAAGACATAGTTGGTTTTACGCCTGGCGATCTCGAAATTCCAAAGTCCTCAGCCTTTCATAACATATGCTTTTGCTGTCAGTATTTACTTTTACGGTAGGCAACTAGACCTCCCTTCACATTTTCTCACATTTGTTTGGGGAAAAAATATAGGTACTGGTTAGTATGTTTTCTTTTTCGAATATATATGCAAAAAAAAATAATGTTTCACAGACTGACCGTGTGATCGGCCATTACATCATTGCATAGAAATCTATGGCTTAGCAAAATCTTCTTTCGAACGAAGTGATCCGGGTTGATGATCAGTATTCCGGACTTGGCCCTTAAGGCGCTTCTCTAAATTTTCTGCATTAAATATATTACTTTATTATAGCAATCATGGCAAATAATAATCCCGAAACGCTTGCTCAGTTTTATGGACTGTTTTTATATAAGAAGAAGGATATAATAGCTATTCAGGAGAAACTCGGTATTGGCCCTGGCAATGCAAATAAATTAGTAGTGCCTCCAGATTCCGAGCTCATGGGGAAAACACTTGCCAATTCTTACGAGCTGTTGTTAGAATTGGTGGGGGATTTAATACCGATACAGGAGAAACTTGGTATTGATGTCAATCCTGTTCTAGAAGTGGAACTTAGAAGGGATAAAACCTCTTCAGATAAACCAATTAGATTATTTGATTTGCTTTTATCTTTAGAAGATGATATAGTAGTAATTCAGGATAAACTCGGTATTATTGGCTATACCAATCAAGAAAGGGCAGAAGAAGTCGATGAAAAAGCAAGAGCATATCTCCAAAAGTTTGAGGAATTCCACGGTCCATTAGAAGATGTTCCAATTGTGATTTTACAGAAATATGGTGAAATGGGAGTAAATAAAATTCGGTTTACTGGAGAGGGGCATCCGCTATTTCCAAATCTCTCTCCTCAACAATTGCACGAAATATTCGTCAAAAATTCAGCTAACACCGATCAGTGCCCATGTCTAGAACAGGTAAGTTAATCTATATTTTTTGTCGCACAGAAGCACTGTACATGCATGTGGTCTAGCAAAAATCTAATTAATGATCATCGCTCCAGACTAGTTAGATCGGCAGAGTACCACCAACCTGTCTAAGATAATCATTAAATGCAGTAATAAAATCATTCGGAGTTTCAGCCGTACCCGTAATTATCGGAGGAGGTACATCATTATTATAGGCAACTTCATCCTCTGATTCGGTTTCGGAGCTAGAAGATTCCGAATCAGAACAGTAATCTTCATCAAAATTTTCGATATGAATATTTGAATTTAGCTGGTCCATGGCTTTTTTGCTGATATTTCTACACCCCTCCAAATCAAGAAATTTTAAATTGGGACGTGAACGAGCAATTTCTTTGATAGTGGTACTGGTAATATTGCAACATCCAAGGCTGAGATGCTGAATCTTCGGGCAGGAGCGAATAACATTGCAGATTGATAATTCACTAATAAATGTACAACCACTTAAATCGAAATATTCTAATTTTTGACAAGTATGGGCTAGCGCCTCGGTAACCTCATCACCAATATCATTACCACCAATCTCTAAGTGTCTTAAATTCGGAGATGCTCTAATGATAGCTACAATTAATGCATCATCATAGAAAGCCATAACACCAGCAAAGTCAAGATACTCTATATTGAGACATCTCTGCATTAAAGTACTAGCATTTTTTATTTTCCCCTTGCTATATGCAATATCAAATTTACGTAAATTTGGGCATGAGTTTAAGATGCAACATATAGATTTATCTGTGATCCGACGTGCTTCGGCAAAATGGAACTCTTGTAAATCATGACAATTATCTGCAATTACAAACAAAGATTCATTGGTAATATTCCTGCAGTAAGAAATATTTAGATGTTCTAAGTTACGGCATGATCGTACGATCGCACATAAGCCTTTATCGGTTATCGCTTCAGCATCCCACAAATTGAGATATCTTAAATTAAGATATGATTCCGCTATTATAAATAGTGATCTATTACCAAAACCTATACTTTCTTTGAAATTTAAATGAATTATATTCGGAAATGTATCCACAATATTTTTTATTTTTCTATCCGAAAGCGAATGGTAATAAGTAATTTCTAGATGGGTTACATTCGAGACATAAGCTGGCTTATGCTTTTCGCACATTATTTTTACAAATCTTTCCAAACGAGTACGGTCTCTCTCTTGATAAGTATAATCGTCTGGAAAATAATGGTAACATTTCAGGTCATTCCCCTTTAGTTTGATATATTTCCATAAGCTAGGAACGGCACATCTGTACCATGACCGGCAAACAAATAGAGCAGGGTATAGAGATTTATCTATCAATAAGAAATGTAAAATCTGCTCTAGTAATTCCTGTATATTAAAAATGCTTGTATGAACCATAAATAATATATGCTGTATCTTTAAACGAAAAAATAAAATTACACAATTACTGCTCCGGACTAAGCCTTTCCACTATGTCATCTAACGCAAGTGCTTGTAACCCATCCAAACGAACTTTTAATATATCTTCAGGTGATAATTCTCTGAAGAATAGATTTTTAAGAAGCCATTCTGGATAGTCTTTGCTTAAATTACACTCTTTCAGTTTCGAATAATATTCCTTTACTGTATAATTGCCTTGAACTATTCTCCCAAATAAAAAATTCATTCTTTTGGACCATTCAAGATTAACCTCTCTTTCCCATATATTATTTATATTGCGAGCATTTTTTAGATCCCGTTCTGGGAGGTACTTTGAAATGGATGGTATTAGTTCAGGCGGAAGAAGATCAAGTAAATTATCTGTATGCATTGTTTTACTTATATAGTTAGAATACCTTCCGATCAGAAAAAATAAGGCTAGTAATACACTCCGGACTATAGGTTGGACTGGGAAAATCAGTCATAGTTCGGATTTGACTATCAGATAATGTCGAAATATAGTCTACTTTTTCGAATGGGATCGCAAAATTATCGTCTAATAATAGTTTTGAATTGCATATATCCAAAGTTGCACCATTTTCTCGAAACCAAGACCCTCCTAAAATTAAATCAGGTCCCGGCCAATCTGGTCCAACAACTATGAATTCACTGGGTGTGCTTTTATGTTTCTCACCATCATTAAAGCCGATATGCAGATTAACCTTTCCTATTGTGGAATAGGTTGTATCCGGAGTTTTAATGCTATTATTTTCATTATGATATGTAATTCCTAATTCACCAATATGTTTTTGGCTAATGCAATTTACATTGGCGCATGTATCAATTGATGCCTGGGTGGGACTATTTTCTTCGACTATACAATTCACAATAATCATTTTTATTATGGTATATAATATTCAAAATAAAAAATAAACCTCTATCATCGCTCTAGACTGGCATTTATCGGATAGCTAATTAGCCTTATTTTTTATTATATGCATTTTTCTCCTGATCTTTCTTTTGGGCTAGGCGCTTCCTAATTCTTTGATGCTTAATCATGTTTACTATCTCATCAATATCAGAATCGGATGAACTGGATTCGGATGAGCTAGTCTCAGATGAGGAACTAGATTCAGACGAACTACCAGATGACAAACTAGATTCGGATGAACTAGTCTCAGATGACGAACTAGATTCAGACGAACTAGTCTCAGATGAGCTTGATTTAGATGAACTACTCTCAGATGAAGTAGACTTGGGCGGGATATTGGTTAAGGCTGTTAGATGCTTTTGATCACTTTCCATTTTGATTATTTATATGCTAAACTTAATAACTTTGACTGAAAAAATATGCAAAGTGTCTGACTC